ATTAAACATTAAAAACTTCGAATCCAAAGAATATATTTACCCGAAATAAATTTTTGTCCGTATCGACCGAAAAATATGTAGGCAACGAATGCATATTTCCATAACATGAAAATGCATTTTGGCAAGCGGCCTTTCCGACCATCTTAACCTTATTCCGCTTTATAATGCATAATATTCAATGCGCTCCCATGCAAATCCTTGCTATTTATAGTGACACTGCAAGCATGTCTCGTATTTAACATTTTTATATTCGAGAATATCGACGGCGAAGGTTTTTCCTATGTTGTCTTCGGACTTTTTTTTTCGATGTATAGAATTTTAAGTTGGCATTACGGCTTAAAATGGCGACCAATTTAACAGCTGTCAAGTGATTTATTCTCAGTTTGGTTTGGTAATTCATAATGAATAGACTCACACCTGAACAACGTTTGCAAATAGTGCAATGTTATTTCGAAAATAATGGTTCTGTGCGGAATACGTATCGCGCACTAAGTCCATTTTATCGTCGACAAAATCGTCCACGTTTTCGCACCACGTTTACTCTTATTGATAACTCGCATCCCCAGAGACGCCGTACGGTGCGCACAGAAGAAGCTATTGCTGCTGTAGAGCGTAGCGTTGAGGAAGACCCGAATGAATCCATCCGCCATCGAGCACAGGAATTGGATTGGTGTCCATCCACTTTATGGAAGATTTTGTGGAAGGATCTTGGTTTACTTGCTTACAAAATCCAACTCGTGCAAGAACTGAAGCCAAACGATCATTAAGTAATGCGTAGATTCGTCGAATGGGCCCAAAACGAGATTGCCGTTGTTCCCGATTTTCATAAGCGAATTTTGTTTAGCGATGAAGCGTACTTCTGGTTGAATGGCTACGTCAACAAACAAAACTGCCGCATTTGGAGCGAAGCTAATCCTCAAGTGTATGTCGAAACACCGTTACATCTAGAAAAACTGACTGTTTTGTGCGCTTTATGGGGTGGTGGAATCATTGGTCCGTACTTCTTTAAAAACGATGATGACCAGAACGTTTCTGTCAATGGTGATCGGTATAGAGCTATGATTACTAACTCTTTCATTCCTGAATTGAATAACCATGATGTCCAGGAGATGTGGTTTCAACAAGACGGCGCAACATGTCACACAACTCGTGCCACAATCGATTTATTGAAAGACACGTTTGGTGAAGGCCCAATTTCACGTTTTGGACCTGTGAATTGGCCTCCAAGATCTTGTGATTGGTCTATGCGGATAAGCCACAAACGCTTGACCATTTGGAAGACAACATTCAAGGTGTTATTGCCGATATACGACCACAAATGTTGGAAAAAGTCATCGAAAATTTTACGTCCAGATTGGACTACATCCGCGCCAGCCGTGGCGGTCATATGCCAGAAATCATATTTAAAATGTAATGCCACAAGATTATCTTTCGGATAAATAAAATTCATGTCAATCGAATAATCCATCGTTGTTTTATTGCAACTTAAAGTTCTATACATCGAAAAAAAACACCCCTTATTTGGTAGTTAATGGAGTATGACTTGGTATACAATAAATAAAAACACAAAAATTTTGTTGAACTGATTGCCTTGAAAATGCTCAAGGATACGGTAAAATGTTTAAATTACCACAGATAAAAAAATTAAAAAGAAATTAACTGGTGAGTATAATATCTTGCTTCATTTTATTATGCTAACAAAATTTGTTGCAACTTTTTGGGTACTATAAAAACTGAACATCGATATAAAATCAGAACGTGTTCCCCTAAATTTTCTTATAAGTTTCTTTACCGCATTAATACGCCAGTTCGTCCTAAATTTTTATGATAATAATATTTTGGTGGTCATGTTCATTAAACTTTACATTTGTCCAAGAAATTATATATATATATATATATATATATATATATATATATATATATATATATATATATATATATATATATATATATATATATATATATATATATATATATATATATATATATATATATATATATATATATATATATATATATAAGCCGAAAAATAATTATTTGAACTATGACTTGCTTATTAATTCATTGCAATTAGTTTATTTTATTAACTTAATTTGTTCCATTTAGGGCTTATTTTGAAAAAGAAAAAAATATTTCTATAAACACCAGCACAAAGTACAAAAGGAAACCCAAGTCTAATAATAATAAATAACATTTTTTAATCCAAGGATATTTATCGAATTTAGGTAGATAAGTTTTTGCGAGAAAATAAATTTCAAAAAATTAATATACCTCAATGTTGATCGTTTTAAAAGCCTTTTGAATTTCGAGGATAAATCAAATCCATTACTTAACATATCGAGTCTTCCAAGTATGGAGCACAAACTTCTATAAATAACGAAAGTCGAAGTTTCTCATGGTGAAGTAGGTAGATGCTTAAAATAACAGCCTCAGAATTAATTAGGGGCAAAGGCGTCGTGTTATATTAACATATTAATCAGCAATTCCCAGCGTAGGCCAATTATGTAACCAAAGAGAATGTATCATACTTGGAGTTTTAGGGTGAACCGCGTGTCTCAAGTAATTACCCTGCGGGTATTTCGGTCCTAATTTAGGATCCCGTTTTAAGGACCTTTACAGGCATTAATATTTCTGAAGGTGCTTCGTGTTGAAGAGCATATTACTTGGTTTTTCCCAAGCTACATTACCAAAATTATTCTTGAAATTATCTAATAGGAATGAAAATAATTGCAAAAAACTTAGATTGCTCCATGGCAGAAGACATTTGTGTAGTTTTGTAGTGTAAATTAGCTAAGACGATGCAACGGCTTTCATGCTTGCGATATCCTTTTCTGTCACAACGATATTCAATATTCTTTAAATACAAATTTTCGAAACAAACTCGCAACTAAGTAACACATATTCATTAAATATATCCTCGGTTGATTGAATCAATTATGACAGCTGGTTTAGCATTACCGTATTTATCAAATATGGTTATTACAATCTATACATAGATAGTTTACTTAATGACCATATTGCCAATCTAATATATTAGAAAGGGCGAATGGTGGAATTCCAAATGAATACATCAATCAGGTCGGTAATATTTTTTGTAATTATTTCACCTGTAAAGCTATAAACGAGATTAAGTAATAGACACAACATAGATCATAAACTAAAAAAAAATGTATTAATAAGAATTAATCAAAGAAATTAAATTGCATTGCATATTAGTTTCTTTCCAAAATCTATTTTTATATATTTCCCCATGGATGTTATGGATATAATAAACAATATTCTCGTACAAAAACAACCATTTTCCAGGAGTAGACCAAAATTACCTTGAATTAAACGGACATTTCTTTTAATTATAACAAAGTCACATTTGCTGTAAAGTCGATTTGCTATTTACACTGCGCTTATAGGACACAAATAAAATCGAAAGATTCGGTAACCAAAACACCAAAACTACAACTAAGCGGCTTAGCCGTGCGAGACGAGTCAATCAGTTTCCGCGACGCACTGAAAAACATGTTTTGGCTGGAAAATGCGAGAGTACATTTCCAGGTCCAGGCCGACAAATATTTTATTTTTCTTTTTATTTCAAATTATTTCAGCTCGGAAAAAGGTCCGTATCCTCCAAGAGAATTTCGGTTTTGCACTGTGCTTGTTGCCAATAATTTCCAATTAACTTTGTTGGCGCCTTTTTTGGGTTGTTGGTGAGGGAGACTATTGCAAGCTTTGATTGCATTGTAGCTAAGGGGCATTTAAATTTAGCTCAGTTAGGTTTGGTAACTGTCCCAATGGCGAATGAATATCTGGGATATGAGAGTAAGTTTCTCAAGCCTTTGGAGTATGATTGATTTTTTAGTTGAAACTAAGAGCTTCGATTTATACTGTTCATGTAAAGTCAGCCGGTGTGATTCTGATAAACTTATATAGATATAGAATATATAATATTATAATATGAAATATTATACAGTCAGTTTTAATTTAATATAGCTACACACCTTTTTAGGGAATTAAGCAACAACAGACCGCAAGACTATTGAAATAGTTTAAATAGCTTCTTAACAGTAACGAGTAACTTTGATATAATATGCAGAATTCCGGAAGGAAAATCATGCCGTTAGGAACACGATTTGCGAAATGTGTTAGTCGATAATCACACATTGACCTACATTACGTAGAATAAAAGTAATATTAAAAATATTGGGCTTTTGCCTGCCCTGATTCGTCCCTTTCGTCCCTAAAAACCTATTTAGAAAGCAGCTAGAAACTCCTTCGCATTCGAAGTGAATTCAAACCCACCTGTCCCTAACGCATTTGACCTAATTTGTTAAATTATTTTTTCTATGTTAGTTTCCACAATGGAGAATGTTAATGTACTTGGCAAAGACTCCTTAGTCAGATTTCGCGAAATATTTGGTAGGGATCTAAAACAAATTTTAAGGTATTTGAGCACACGCGGCAAGGTTTTTGGACCAGTACGATATCCCGAGAAGAAATTAAGTGGTGGAAAATTGTTTTTATTTTTCTGCTGGCTTTATTTGAAAACTCATTTCTAAAAGAAATTGCAAAAAATTGTGAATGTTTATGGCGAAATTATTATTAATTATATACAATATTATAAAAATTTCAATCGCTCATTAACATTAACAAAATTAATAAGGTAAAATAATGAATAAGAAGAATAATAAAAATTTAAAGAACGTAGCCAATAATATCAGGAGGCTGAAATAATCTTAAATTGTGTTTTAAAAAATGAAGTCATCAAAAATCATTATTTTCACTTTCGTTTGAGTTGAGTTTTGGTACAATATTCAAGCAACAAAATTCTCCCTGTAAGTGTTTAGAAAACCTAACGATGAGACATGACCATGACCAAGTTTTTGTTGGCTTTGTACGTATTCATTTAATTTCAACTGTACCGAATACACTAGGTAAACAAACGAAAAAAAAAAAAAGAAATAGAATAACGCATTATTGAAAAATCTGTAACCAGTAATTTATTCCAGGTTCCATGCCCGGTGGACCCGGGGTTCCCGAAAACATAACCGTGACATTTCTAAATCCAACTTCCGTTAGAGTTTCGTGGGCCACATCAGTGGACAACGCAGACAAGTACGACGTCACTTATAAGCCTACAGATGAAAGGTATGCGAAATGTTTTTTTTTTTGCTTTGCGAATGAAACAAAATGTAAAGGTTTATAGTCTTTACAGAAACTTTGTATCTTTCTTGTCCCGTAGTTTTCTCTGCTTTTATCGTCGATGTAAATTCACATTATTTAAAAAATAATTTACAGCATCTGTTAAGTAACAATACCAAGTATAACCCAATACCATTGAGAAAGCTTGCTCAAAATGGACATTGAACTGGATATTCAACTGGATATTTTCTTATTTGCATGTCAAATATCTAGGCGCACGTATTTGATTTATTATCGATTACGTTCTGACCCGCCAATAGCAAAATCCCTAAACTTTCCAAATATTTGCCATAATCCTCATAATCCCAACGCCCTAGCTTACCATCTCCAAGATCATCATGTTCTGTTTTTTTTTTATTCCAGTTTATGAAGGGGATCAATTGGTGTTTAAATTTATTTTAAAAAAAATACCCTCTCTCTCTTTCCTTCACAAAGTTTAATTAAATTCAAATTTTTAATCAAAAGGGGATAATAACATTAAGGATTAAGTGGAATATTAATAACTTTATACGGAAAACCGATAAAAAATCAATTTAAAATTTGATAATTAAATTGTGAGTTTCGGTACTGTTACCAAATGGAAAAATTTTTAATTCGGAACTGTAATATTTATCGACTTTCCTAGTTCAAAGCTTTCAAAATGCATTCCATCCGTTCGGTTTTTTATTTCATTCATTTAAGGACACGAAAACTCGCTAAAAGCTTTCGGAAGGGGGAAGTTTCTAACTAACGATCGGTGTAATAATCTGCGGACGTTTACTTTAACTTACTTGAAATTTTTGTTGATTTAATATATAGCGATTGCGAGCACCCAAAAGAGCCTTTTTAAAGTTTGATGGACTAGAATAGTTTCGGTAATGCATTCATATGGATTTTTTCTACTCCCGTCTGCAAAATACCAAATTACACACCCATCTAGCGTGCTGGAATGGTCGCTTTACCACGTCAGTTTCGTTTCCCACGGATCCGAGCCACTTCGGACAATTCCGGAATTTTACCGCACAGGCTTGGGAGCAATATGTTTTCGGAAATATTTCCCATGCTTTGAATTTTGACGTTTGTTTATTCTGACGGTCATGTCAGTGAATGTATTTGTGTTGTTTTGCGGAAATCCAAAAACTAACCTTAGTATAGTATGCAACACATTCGGTAAACTTTTTAACTCACTCGCTCCGCTGCGCTCCGTTAGTGTCAAATGAACTCATGAGTCAAATGCAGTTTACCGCACTTGTTGCGTAATATACTATTGTGACGCAAATTTTAATTAGAGTGAGACTGATAGTAATAGGGATTGTGGGCTTTGTCATACACGTGACTGCTAACGAGAGATTGTTTACATTATTTCTCAAATTTTCTACCTGCTTGCAATTTTTGCAAATCATCACCTATAATATTTACTAATAATGTCATGGTTACATTCTTAAAAATAGTAAATTATTGATGTGAATGTGGTTTTCAGCAAAATACATTCACCTGACAACATCACATTTATTGGGAATAAATTTTGAAAGGTGATTTAATTTTTACAAAAATTGGAGACAAAAAACGCGGAATACTAAATAATGAATTAATGAACTAAATGAATAATAAAAATTCAAACTCGGCGACAGTATTGTAAAACGGCGCTGTCTTCTTGCATTTTCAAAAAAAGAATTATTAATGCGGAATTTCAAATGAAATACGAGCTGTGTTCAAAAAGTGGGTTGAATTTTGTAATTTCTCTGGCTACTACATTCGATTTGCGATATGTTTTCTTTGTTATGTTGGTACACATGTCCATAACATAAGTTCACAGTTTCAGCCAGTTGGCAAGTATACTTTTTTTTATGAGACAAAAATGTTAGCCTTCTTTTATGTGCTTGGCGATTTTCTGCTGTCAAAAAAAAATGGATCAAAGAATTTCCATAAAATTTTAGTCAAAAATGGAATACAGTGCTGCAAAACAATTGAAATGTTGACAACTTCAGTCTTAATTGGCATATCCTGCTTGTGTATTTTAATTAAAGAATATAATTTCGGTTTTTGAAGAACCTCCAAAATTATATTCTTTAATCAAATTCAATTACAAACAGGACATGCCAATTAGGCCTGTGGCTTCTTTTGTAACAGCAACATCAGTTAAACTTTAAACAAGATTAATAAAAATTTTAGAATATCTCATTACCTGTAAACCTAGGTAGGTTATCAAAAATTCGTTCGAATCAATCAACAAAGTTAAAGACTTTAAAATTCCTCCTAAGGCAATTCTAGATTCTTTTGACGTCCAAAATCTATTTCCTTGCATTCAACCGATTGAGGGAATAAATATAACAGACAATATTCTTAATCAGAGACGAATCAACCCTAACATAAAAAAAGACTATCTAAATTTGGTATTAAGATGGCTTTTTAAAACTGAAAACCATTGGAAAATTTGAAAATGAAAGTAAACCACGAAAAACTCAAAAGTCCGGAGTCTACAAGTTGAAATGTGGATCATGTCCCGAAATTTATATCGGACAAACAGGTAGAATATTTAAGCAACGCATTAACGAACATAAAAAGCGTATAAAAATAAAAGTTCATATTCATCGGATATGGCCCCCTGCGATTTTTTCCTGCTTCGGAAACTCAAGAAGCTGTGAAAGGAACGAGGTTTGGAATGATTGAGCAGATAGAGAAAAAATCGCTGGAAGAACTCAAAACTATACCAGAAGTGCTTTGAGGATTGGAAAAAAGTTGGCACAAGCGTATCTGGGAGGATTACTTTTAAGGGGAAAACATTAATTTTGATAAATAATAAATACTTTTTGATAAAAGTTAAAAGTCACCTTACTTTTTGAACGCACCTCGTATAAATAGGACAATTCTTTTTCTGAGAGAAACATTAACGCAGGGAATTTTTATAATTTTAAAATATAGGTTTTTCTTTCTTTCTATGCCCATCAAATACATTGTATATCATATTAAAATTAGCTTGTTGTTACAACCCAAAAAGTATACAATACTCCTTGAAACTGCTTGGAATAGGGCAGTGTTTCCTTATTCAGATCTTTGCTGCAGTTTCGTTGCTACAAATACAAAACACTATAAAACACATTCGCAGGCAAGCCATTTATATAATAAACATAAAATTTGTTCAATAAATGTGGTGACAAATGTTAGTAGCTAGTAGATTCACGATATTGAACGTGAAAATTAAATTTATAAAACATTTAATGTTTAAACTGGCAAAGCTATTAAATTCATTCACAAAAGAGACGAATAACAATAACAGTTATTACAAACTGTTTATGGCACATATTGTGATATATTTTTTTACTTGTAGTTTGCGAATCCCAGCAAAATACCCTGAAAGACACATTTTTACTTTTTAGCCGAGCATAACAGTTAGGATTAAAATTTATTTTATTTAAACATACTTAACTACTAGGACAATTAAATTGTTCTAGATTTTTCATAACTATTAGATCACAGGTTTGTTGGGATTTACATAAAATTACAATTTGTACTCGTATTATTGTTGTTATTCACAAGTAAGTCCTTAAATTTTGCTAATATAAAAATGTAATTATTTTTATTTGTTTACTATTCTCCCTTATAATAAACGTTTAGCTTGCCCATCTATGGGGACAGTCACTTGATCACTTTCTGCCTCTAGAAGAAGAATAATGATATCTTCAAAAAAACAAATCCTAAAATTCTAGTTATACAGGGGTCCCTAGTCCTTTACTCGCCTAATTACTCCACATCAAATAAATAGGCCAAGACGTAACAAATATTAATTAAAAGAAAGTAAAGCATGCTGAAAGACTGTCAAGACTATACTGTACACACTATTTTCACACGAGAACCGATTCTAAGCTGAAGACACCTCGGAACGAGGATGCTGTAATTTTCTACTCGGGGAACAATTTCCTTGTGCTTTTGAGGAACTCACTTAATATTTGCTGCGAACGTAATATAACAATAGAAAAATTTTAATTGAATATGTTTACGACGAAAACTCCAAGCGTGGATTCTCGCATAGAAGCCACACAGCGTATTTGTTCCGGTATTTGTTATATTGAGCTAGCTACATTTAGGCCTGTTCAAAAGTTGATAATAAAAAAAATGTATAGTGCTAAAGTTGAAAAATAAAATTAGATTGTTGTCGATATGTTAGAAACTGTTTAACATACACAAGGATAGAAAGAGCTTTTGATCGGGTTCATCGTAAGACTATATTATCAAAACTATGCTATATTATCAAGTTTTCCTTATCTAAGGACTGGTGTCTCTTATTGGAAACTTATTTAACAATTCATTCACTAGGGCTGCCATAGTGATCAACATTATACCTACCATTGTTTCTATTATGTATAAATGACATAAAACAAGTATTAAATATTCTTACTGTACGCGGATGGCATAAAAATATCCAGACATATAGAGACTCAAAATGATGGCAACAGGATATTAATAATTTATTAAAGTGGTCTAAAAGTGTAACTCTATGTCATTTACATGTGTGAAAAGACCACTTTAAAAGTATATATATATATATATATATATATATATATATATATATATATATATATATATATATATATATATATATTTATATGAATTCAAAGGATATCGGGTAGCGGTCCGTGGTTAAGAAAAAACAAAGAAAATAGAAAGCTCCTTTTTTCTTTAACACTCAATATTTCGTCAATTTATTTGTTGACTTCTTCAGGAGTGAAAAAATTAGAGTCTATCACATAGTTCCCCAAAACAATACTTTACAGTTAAGGTAAATGAACGAAGCGACATAATGAAATAATGAAACAAGCGGATAAACACTTAGTATATATTACATACTATACATACTAAGTGTTTATCCGTTTGTTTCATCATGTCGCTTCGTTCATTTACCTTAACTGTAAAGTATTGTTTTGAGGAACTATGTGGTACACTCTAATTTTTTCACTCCTGAAGAAGTC